AATGGGTCCAAATGGTGGCAGTGGATATAATGGGCATAATTCTCGTTAAAAAGTCCAGTTGAGTCAAAATGACACCAACTAGGTCATAATCAGTCAAAAACGAAGAGGAACGAATGGAAAGGAAAGGCGTTTTCTCTCTAGGGTTTTAGCGTGATCGAAGATGATGATCTTGTTTGGTGTTTGCTGATTTTGCTTTGCGCTTCTTCGTTTTTCGTCGTTCTTGTTGAGTCTTACCGTTTGTCCTTCTTGCTTTTGTCACAATCGGCGGTTTGTTCTTGGATTAGGGTTTGGCGAAATTTTGAGGATCTCTTTTCATTTTATTCCCCTTGCTTTAATCGTCGGTTTTAGCGATCCGCTCTTTGTGGATCGTTTTTGGGTAGAGTTTCTTCATATCCGTTAGGAAGGTTGCGTATGGGTTTTGTGGCTAGGGTTTGGCCATTTTGCTTGTTGCTTACGGCTACGGTTGCATGCTTTAAGATTGGGCGCCGTTTTCTTTGCATGTTCTCCTATTTTATCTAGGGTTTTGAGCCGTAGTGTTCTTCTTCACCTGCTACTTGATTTCTTTTGGTTGTCGTGTTGCTTATTGGGTTGCTTGTGTTTTGCTTACGGTTATCGTCCGTTTTGTGGGTTTTTTCACAGCTAGGGTTTGAAGTCGTGTAGTGTTTTGCTCACGAAAAAGGCTTTCTCTTGGCCGTCGTTTTTGCATGCTAGGGTTTACGGTTTCTTTGTTGGCCGTAGGGTTGTGATTGCTAGGGTTTGTGCCGTTTCTTTTCTTTTCTTGGTGGTTCGTGTGTTTGGTTCTCGTGGTTTTTTTGTTCGTTTTGGTGATCTTTGGTTCGGAGTTTGATCTTTTGTGGCTTATTCAATATTTTTCGTTGAGATCTTCTGTGTGGGTTTTATCTAGTGTTTCTTATTTCATGTGTCAAGTGTTTCTGTGGTCTTCGTTGCCTTTCTTGAGTTACTTAATAGAATATTCAGCACCTCCTTATGGGGTCTTCGTTTATTTTATTGAGAACACTCTTTAAGGGTTTCAGCACCTCGGCTTCTTGACTAGGGATAAGGGGAATTAGGTATTTGTTTTGTCGTGTGGTTATGATGTTAGACTTTACGGATGCAATTTTGGAGGTTCCTTCTCCTAAGGATTTTGCGGAGGTCATTCTTGGAGAATCGGTTATTGGTGACTTGCATGATACTCCTTTGCATGGGGGTGCAACGGAGGCGCTGTTGAAGGGGATTGGTGCTAATTTGGGTCCCGCTAAAGGGTTTCGGTATGGGAACGCCTATCACCTGCCGTTTTGGGTGGGAGTTCTATACACCATCAAAAGTCTTTTGCATAAATTGTTGGGAGCATTTCAAATCAAGAACTGAAGTACTACCTGGTTGAGAAGAATGTGAAACCGAGGATTCAATTTACTTTGGAAACTACAAGGGATATGGCTAAATCATTCCAGTCGGTTCTTTATGGTTACTTTTTGGGACCTC